AGGCAAAATACTAAAAAAGGCAACAAACAAATACAACCCCTACAGACAGAAGGAAAAAAAAAGCAATCTACAAAACAAAGCAAGCTGATAGGATACTCATCTGAAAACAAATACTGAAAGTCATGTTTTTAGAGTTGTAAAGGAACTATAACTCAAGAAATTCTAGGCACCCAGTTGAGCTTTCATTCATGCAAGGGAAAAAGAAGGGCATTTTCAGATCTAGAACAGTTTAGAATTTATACTACGTAAGTACTATTTATGAAAAAAGTTGTGTATGGAAGCATTCCTGACAAACAAGCAAACAAAAAAGTCTCAAATAACCCAAAAAATGAGAGGATATGGAGCACAAGAAACCAGCTGCACTGGACAAAGTAACGGGTTACAGTTTAGTTAATTCTAAACCGCAGGTTATGAGACTTGTGTATTCATTAGGAAAGAAAGCTTAACAATTTGGAATAAAATTCCAGATTATTTCTAGAGTGCTATGCCCAAAACACATGAAATAGAACTTATTGCAATAAAGAATTTCACAAAACCATAATAATCATAGTGGGAAAACAGCAAACTGCTCTCATCATGTAGTAAATTATACAGATAAAAATAATCTGATGGAGATGAGCCACCAATCAGAAGCTTGCTTTTATAGTTATAAACACAACTTTGAGCCCATCAGAGAAGGTACATCTTTCCAAATGCCCATGAATTCAAAAACTGATCATGCATGAGTCAGGTCACAAAAATCAGAAATGTTCCAATAACACTGTCTGAATACCAAGTATAGCAAAGAATTGCAAGATAACAAAAAAGAACCCATTAACTACTTAGAAATTTAAAAAAACAACAACAGAGCCCAGGCAAGTTTGGTTAAGGAAAAAAAGAGAGAAAACCCAAATATACACAAATAATTTGCTAGGAATTACAGAAAAGTAATACACAAGTTTGGAAACTTAAAAGGCAATAGTCCACTTTATACAATGTGATGCCAACACCTATGAAAGCTAGATAAAACAAATGCTTTTATGGACAAATAAAAACCAATGAAACCAAATAAACAATTTATAAGAAACTGAAAAGTTTATAAATGATTTTTCTCCAAACCAAAGGTGGTTGGCCCAGATGTTTTATGGACAGGTCTTATCAAGTCTTCAAGGAACAGAAAACCTACATATTCTTTAATGTTCCCAAGCATATTAAAAGTTGGTCATCTCTTCCATTCATTCTTTTAGAAAAAGATAATCCTGCTGTAACAGCTGTCGAAGAGAGTACACAACGACAGTAATTACAGTACAGACAATGAGAGGAATGGAGGAGTCCAGGAAGATGACTAAGTGGGAATTTAGTGTCTGACAAAGCTGGAATTTCAAACTGAGTGATAAAATGATACCCTACTCAGTGAGTGATTTGGGGAAAACTGGCTATCCATTTAAAACATAAAGTTAGATCGTTTTGTCAAAGTTTAAGTAAAGATAAATTCCCCATGAATTATACACACAAATACAAATAATCATCCTCAAAATCCAACAACTAAAAATTATTATAAGTAAACATGGGAGAATATTTTTACAATGTTGGATGGGAGATGTTTTCTTTAGCATGACACCAAAGACCAGAATACAAAACATCACTGATTAAACTATCTTACTTCTTAAATTTTCTACATGAATTCTGGTGAAGAGAAATCTGGGAGATTTTAAATTGCATATACCCTTTGATGCAATAATTCTAGTCTTGGAGAATGTACTTTCACGTACACTTACACACTGTGCAAAAACTTATGGAAAAGAATATTCATTTTCACCCTATGTGTAGTAGAGAAAACCTGGAAACAATCCAAATGTCTAAAAATAGTGTGCGGGTGAGAAAAATTATAGTAAATCCATACTATGTAATACTATGTAGACCTTAAAGAAAATTAGGTCTAGCTATGAAAAAATGCCCATAATAAGTAAAAACAAAACTTTGCAATTGTGTGGGTAAAATCTGGGTACAAGAAGGCAGGCCAAGGGAAATGTTTACAATTCACTTCACACAATAGCTTGTTCAAAAATATCTATTTTAAATTATTATGGTATAAGACACCACAAACAAACCAAAGAGAAGTAATAAGCTGTTGGAAAATATTTACATTATGACAAATGGATAATGGCCTTAATATGTAATCAGCTGTTGCAAATCAATAACAAAATGATGGAAAATAAAGATGATGACAATAGCAGCTAACTACACAGAAATTATTATGTGCAGGTTTAAACTTACTTAAAAACCCTTACAACAACCCCATGATATGTGAACAATTACTACCCCCATCTTATAGACAGGGACACTGAGATGCAAAGAGGTTAAGACACTTGCCCAAGGTTAAAAACAGCAAGTGACAGTGTAGAGATTCAAATGCAAGTGGTCTGGCTCCAGAACCTACACTGCCTTTCAAAAGACTGATGGGCAAAGGAAACAGAAACATAATTCATTAGGGGGGAAAAATAGCCCATAAAAACTGTTGAGCCTCATAATAACAAAAGAAATGTATCAAGTATCAGACTGGAAGAAGTAATCACATGGGTTATAAGAGTATGGGAGAAAAACAATCCCTGTCACACACCAAAGGGAAGGAAAAGTAGTATATCCTCCATGTATCAACATTTACGTATTATGATTCAACATTTATATATTTTATAATTATATATCATGTATAAAATTTATATATTCTTTGGCTCATCAATTCTATTTCAAGGAATTTATTCTAAGGAAATAACTGGATAAAAGAGCCAACATACAAGGATCTCCACAGCAGAGTGAACACTTTGAATATACATAATTAGATATATGTAGCACATATCTAATATATATAAATTATACATACACTCATATACATGCAAACACTGGCTATTTCTCTATTTAGAATAAACTTGGCACTTTCTAAATTTCTGTATTATTTTTATTTTCTTTTTTTAAACATTTATTTATTTTTGAGAGACCGAGACAGAGCATGAGAAGGAGAGGGGCAGAGAGAGAGGGAGACACAGAATCTGAAGCAGGCTCCAGGCTCTGAGATGTACTGTTTTAGTGAAAATCTCAGATAAAAGGGAGCTTTCCAACTGGCAAATCTTATTTTCAAGGTTAGGAAATATCCTGGCACCACATGAGAGCTTCTCCCCTGGTTTTATCTCAAGGGTCTGTGAACTCTTTCTGTAAAGGGCCAAATATGTATTTTAGGCTTTGTAGGTCACTGGGTTTCTAACTGCAGCTACTCAACTCTGCCATCATCACAAAAACAAAAAACAAAAAGACAATATATGAACAAAGAGTCATGGCTATATTCCAATAACTTTTATTTACAGGGGCACCTGCACACTCAGTGGGTCGAGCATCCAACTTTGGCTCAGGTCACAGTCTCACAGTTCATGGAGTTTGAGCCCTGCATCAGGCTCACTGCTGTTACTGCAGAGCCCACTTTGGATCCTCTGTCCCCCTTTCTCTCTGCCCTTACCCTGCTCACGTGTGTACCCTCTCTCACTCTCATACATAAAACATTAAAAAAAACTTTTTTATTTACAGAAATAAGTGGTGGGGGAGTCTGGCCCTTGGGCCAAATCTCAGAATAAGCGTTTGCTGACTCCCTATCTCAGATTACCGATTTTAGAAGTGGCCTGTTTTAACATACCTTTCCCCCCACTGTTTATCTTTATCTCAACTTAGGTTCTGAGGTTATCTCCTGTAGACAGTAGCAGCCTTTCTCCTAAGAAAAGGAGATGCATCTCAAGGCCACTAAAATGTCCCAAGCTTGGTCACTGTTAAATCTCACAGCAAAGACTTGGGGACAGGCACCTGTCATAGCTGGTCTAAGTCCTTGGAGCGGCCACACGATGGTCACAGCTGCCACAATCCCTCTATTCACATCCCAGCTCCCTCTTACCTCGGCCCCCATCTCCACACACATGGCTCAATACTGGGCCCCATCCTTTAGTTTAAGAGAAAATGGATATAATGCCAAAGAGATGGTATGATTTAGAAATGGCTCAGAAGATCTGTACATAGACTGCAGAATGTGTACATTCTTGTGACTAAAAACATGGGTGCCAGTTCACATCTGTATTTTGTTGGCAGAAGAGCACAGTCGTTTCAGTCTCTCTACATATAACCCAAAGAGCTACTAGGAATGCTCACACTGCAATGCCTACACCAGAGACCACTTCTCAGAAGAAAAGAGTGGCCAAGGCAGTGTTCATCAACCTAATTCTTCCCGCTAAAAACTATGAACATTGGAGGAAAGAAAGTTTGCTTAAAAAATAAGCAATATGTATACAGAAGCATTAGGAGTGAAAAAAAAATTAGTTGTTAAGTATCCTGAACCCAAATTTGATAATGTATTGATCTATAATTCTTTAAATGGAAGCAACAATTAGAAAATTCATGAACATTCACATTTCTTCTTTTGTTATTAATTAGGACTCAGTAAATACTTATTGAGAACCTACTAAATGCCAGGCATTGTGCTAAGTGTTGTGTATTATTTTCTTTTAAAAACTGTCTATTAATAAAATATGATGCATCTGAATTGTAGACACAGGTGAGAAATATATATACACACACACATGTATATATACATATACATATATATATGTACATATATATATTCAAGACTCATCAGGTACACTAGTATTTTAATAAATGAACAATAGTTATGAAGATTCTTATTTGAATTAAGAAATTCAAATTTCCCTTTTTTTTAATAGGCTTCTAGTTAATCAACTTGCTAGCACTGTAGTTTCTTTCCTAGGTATGACATATACTATGGTTCAGAGCACATGTTTAGAGGATGGTTTAATAATATTTATCTGTCCATTAGGAAGAAGTCCTAACAAATGTTGGATTTATCCTATCATCACTTCTGAGTATGGCCTCCAAATTAAAGCTTTAGTTCTGATTCAACATAGCAGAGTAATGTTGCTGCCTGGGGGTGCCCAGAGAATGAGCAAACCTCTGGGTGCTGAGCTACTTACAGCGAAAGGGTGGTAAGGAGGAGCGGGGGGAGCTCCTCGGGGCCCTGTTGGTGGAGGCAGCACGGACAGTCCTGTTGAAAAGATGCCAAGTGCGCTGAGGTTCAACCCCGGGATCAGATTGGCTTGTTGCTGGGAACAGAAATGGAGAAAAAGATGAGGGGAGGAGACCAGAGAGGCCCAGCTAGCCTGGGTCAACCTCCATCTTTTGTCCGGTTGGCATCAATGCCTCCTAATCAGCTCTGTCCTGGCCTCACGGACACCCATGCTGCCAGGGTGGGCTCTCCAAACCTCAAGCTGACCCTCGCATTGCTTCAAAGCTTCTCTGAGAGCGTCTACGCATCTTAACACAGCCAACAAGGCTCCTCAGGGGACCCAGGCCACCACATCTTCTCTCCTGCTAACCGCTCATCCCCACTCTGCCCAGTCCTGCTCCTCTCTCCCACCCCTATCTGGGCTTCTGCATACATTATCCATCCTGTAGGGAAACTGCTTCTCTTCCTCCTCACTTGGCTAAGTCCTACTCATCCTATGGGCTCCACCTTAACTTAGGGGTCCCCTCACTCCAGTGCCCTTTCTGTGCACCCCCACTAACATTGCTGTGTTTCCTTCAAATAATATTTGAAATATCATCACATGGTATTTGAATTGCCTGTGTAGTTCCCCTTCCCCTTTAGGTCATAACTTCCTCATGGACAGAGACTATATTCCTTAGTGTTGTGTGCTCAGTGCCTGGTACGTAGTAAGTACTCAATAAATACTTGTGGAATGAATAAGTTTAAAAAATATTGGGTTAATCTGTTTTTCCAATGCTATCCAGAGAAAGATCAGATCTTTCACTAGGATACAATAACACGTGTAAACTCCATTCTCCAGGTTCAGGATGGTTCACAACTTTGAATTTTTCAGTATTTAGTTACAAGTGTTATGATCATCTCACTTTCTTGCTTATTTCACATTTAAACACCGGGATGCTCACATAGGCTGGGGGTGAGCATTAACTGCACAGGGATGCAGTCATCTGGCCTGTGTCCACCTTGCCTCTAACTTTGTCTCTCTGAACACTAAGCAGTTCTCTACCATTTCTGTTTTCTTATCTGGGACTTGGGTCACCCATTAACTTGCCTTCTTTTAGGATGTTTAGAATAGGAAAGCTGGGTTCTTTAACCTTTACCCAATTTGATACATAAGACCCAGTAATTTTGTTAATCACCTGTCAACGTATGACTTTGGTACAGATATGAATGAATCTAAATGATACACTAAGTGGAGACACTTGGAGCACCCAGGCCCTTTTGTAGGTTTTCTGGATGACATCGTACAAGGTCAAGAGCCCCAAAGAAGAGAGTGAGGTCATCTGAGGATATTGCTACAGACAAATACACATAAACAGGGAAAAGGTGACAATGTGATCTTGTCCTCATCACGTCCTATATGTGATGTGGGCTGCTAAGGGGGTCCTGGAGCGAGGCAGGGATAGTGTTCTGATGTGAGTAGGAGGGTCCTTAGAAAGAGGTGCACTGATGGCACTGGCTTTAGCCTATATAACTCTTTGTCAACACTTACTCTCTATGAAATATCACTAGGTCTGGGATTTGCTTCAAAGTCATTCAAGAAGGCTGGGAAAGCACATGGAGGCTCAGATGAAGCAAAGCAGGCCATGAGTTGATAACTGCTGAAGATGGATGACAGGCATATGAGGACTTATTGCAGTATTCTTTCCTCTTTATGTTAGAAAATTATAATAAAAAATCTGAAACAAATGTACTCCTCTGAGTTGAGCTTGGGCTTTGCTCACAGACGAGTATTTTTAGGATTTCTGAATGTCAGACTGGTGTCTCCCCATTGTAAAGTGAGAATCAGTTAGCAATAACAGGAAGGACAAGCCCAAATCCAGACGTCTGCTGGAACTATCAGTGAGAGCCAAGGTGGCCGACATTTACTGGGGGATCCAGAAGTGCACATCAGTAAGCCAGCCATAAAAATCGGAGTTTATTTTTGAAGTGTGTATTTTTAAATTTAAAAAATAACAGGACAACATGACAGAAACTTTGTAAAGTAGGAAAAAATCTCACTTTTCTAAGATACCAGCTGTTTTTATTTTTGTATGTAGCCTTCCATTTTGCTCCATACTATTCTATATAACTGTAATCCTAGTTAAATAAACTTCTATATGCTCTTTCTTAATTAGTATTATATCATAGACAATTCATCATTTTATAATACTCAAAGTTATGATTTTAATAGCTTCACACTATTTTGTCCAGTGCATTTATCATAATTTACTAGTTGGTTTCCTGCTAGTTTTAATGCTCTTGCCCCAAGAAGGCATGAATAACTCTGTAGATCTATTCTAAGGCACTTCCTCACCGGCTGAGTGGCAACTATTCTTAGAGATGTTTGTGTCCTGCCTGAAAACACATGTGAAAACCAGGAGAGAAGAAAACATTAGGCACTTACATTAACAGCCAGCATATCGTTCTCAAAGGCCTCACGGAGCTTCTTCATAATCTCTACCTCTGCACTGGCACAGGCCTCAACTGTGCCCTTCACAGTGATGGTTCTTTCGGGGTTGTATATGCTCAAGTCCTGCAAGCTGGCCACCGGGAAAAAAGAGAGATTTCCTTTTTTCAAAAGGAAAGATAAAAATCCCAGAAGGATCACAAACAAGTCTTGGTGGAGGACGTAGGGAGAAAGCTGGATTCCCTCACCACACACTGTGGTATCAAATACTTGCACATTTTAGAGGTGACTTAGCTCATATCCATAGTAGAAAATGTCTGCCTGTAACTATTAACGTATTTGTTTTGATGGTGCTGGATATAATTACATCACTTGTAATTATACTCTCATTTTAAGGAAAAGCAGATGAAGGAGTTGGGCATATCAAAATGCTCAAGTTCTTCATTTTGGGCACAATTAATCTGAATGGGTGGCTTACGATGAGATTGTTATCTTGGTCCCTGTCTCATGTTCAATTTTCTTCAAATTTCTGCCTTCTTTTCCAATAAGTCTTCCAACTAAGCCATTGTGGGCCAAGATCTTCAGAGGAATCTCTTCGGCTCTAAAAGAGACAAACAACAATTTAACACTTAAAGTGGGCACACTGGTTGTCTCCTAATAACTATTAAACCACTTTTGTTCCCTTTACAAACAGAAGCCATTTTATTCAGGTATTAAGTGGCCAGGGTACATGAATTCTGATTAACACAAACCAAATCACAGTAATTATATTCCCTTGTTGAGATCAATTGGAAGTGGGTGCCATGAGACAAATCTGGCCAAGGAGATACAAGGAGAAGTCTGTTGCAGAACTTTAGGAAGGTTTTCCTTGCTCTTAAAAAAGACAAGGGAGAACACCAGCCAGATGGCAGAGTAGGGAGCCACAGGTTCTCCTAACCCCTCAGAGACACCAAGTTAACAACAACAGAGAGACTAGAATACCTCAGTGAAAATTCTAGAGATCAGCTGAGAGGCTATAGGATCCTGGCCATTGTAAAGTCAAGAAAGGATTCCAGCAAAAGGACTAGGAAAATTTGCATTGTTTGATGTGCCTATATGTGCTCCTTCCTCTGAGTAGCATAGCTAGGAGCAAATGAGAGGAAATATCCCATATCAGGAATCCTTCCATGGGATGGAAACAAAAGACTAGACCATATATCCAACATTCTGGCTTATCTGGGAGCCGCCCAAGGAATTGGTTTCTGTCTTGCCTGACTTGGAGCACTTAGGTGACTGGTGCCAGAGTTTTGGAAGGCACCGAAAACAGAGGTGAGCCGTATGTTAGAGCTGTAGTGCTATATAACTGCATCAGAAGCCAGGGTGAGAAAGAGATCAGAAAAGATTTGAGAAGCCTTAAGACCATCAGCAGGGCTGATAAGTGAAGGTCTTCCCCTGAACGAAACCTGACTGAGAGATGGTTGTTTTTTCAAATGCTCAAATCCCAGCAAAAAATTAAAGGACATCTAGGGGTGCCTAGGTGGCTCAGTCGGTTAAGCAGCCAACTGTGGCTCAACTGTGGATCTCACAGTTTGTGAGTTCGAGCCCTGCGTTGGGCTCTGTACTGACAGCTAAGAGCCTGGAGCCTCCTTCATATTCTGTGTCTCCCTCTCTCTCTGCCCCTCCTGTGCTCACGCTCTGTCTCTCAAAAATAAATAAACGTTAAAAAATTTTTTTTAAAAAATTAAAGGACATCCAAAGAAACAGGGAAACAAGGCCTAATCAAAGGATCAAAATATAACTCCAGAAAACCTTAAAGAAATGCAGATCCATGAACTGCCTGAAAAATAATTTACAGTAACTGTCAGAAAGACATTCAATAAGCTAAAAGAGAACACAGATAGACAACTAAATAAAATCAGGAAAACTATGCATGAATAAAATGAGAATATCAACAAAGGTAAAAACTATAAAAAACAATAGAACTAAAAATATAATAACCAAATTAAATAAAAACTCATTAAAGAGGTTTAATAGCAGATTTGACAGGCAGAAGAGACTGATCAAACTTGAAGACTGGTCATCTGAGGGGCGCCTGGTGGCTCAGTCGGTTAAGAGTCCGACTTTGGCTCAGGTCATGATCTCATGGTTCATGGGTTCGAGCCCCGTGTCAGGCTCTGTGCTGACAGCTAGCTCAGAGCCTGGAGCCTGCTTTGGATTCTGTGTCCCTCTCTCTCTCTCGGACCCTCCCCTGCTCACGCTGTCTCTCTCTCTCAGAAATAAATAAAACATTAAAAAAAAAGATTGGTCATTTGAAATCAGTAAGTTAAGGGAGAAAAAGGAAAAATAGAATGAAAAAAGCCCCCAGAAATCACAAAGAAAGGCTAAAGGACTTATGGGCCATGATCAAATGGACTAATATACTCATGTAAATCCGAGAAGGAAGAAAGAGGGCAGAGAGCTCATCTGAAGATGGCAGAAAAATTCCCAAATCTCAGGAAAGAAATGGACACATAGATTCAAGAAGCTCAAAGAACTTTAACTGGGACAAAACCCAAGAGAACCACATTGAGACACATTATAATCCAACTGTCCAAAGTTAAAGACAAAGACAGAATCTTGAAAGCAGCAAGAGAAAAGTGATTAGTCACATACAAAGTAGTTTCCATAAGATTATTAGCAGATTTCTCAGCAGAAACTTTGCAAGCCAGAGAAGAGTGGGATGATATAGTCAAAATGCTTAATGAAAAATGCATCATCAAGAATACTGTATCTGGCAAAACTGTCATTTAAAAACGAAGGAGAAATGAAGACTTTCCCATACAAACAAAAGCTAAGGGAGTTCATTATTATTAGTCTTGCTCTACAAGAAATGCTAAGAGAAGTCCTTTAATGGAAATGAAAGGACAGTGGACAGCAACACAAAGCCATATGAAAATATAAAGTTCTCTAGTAAAAGTAAAGACACAAATATAATAAACTGTACTATAATAACTAAAAATTTTTTTAATGTTTTATTTATTTTTAAGAGAGAGAGAGAGAGACAGCATGAGCAGGGGAAGGGTCAGAGAGAGAGGGAGACACAGAATCCGAAACAAGCTCCAGGTTCTCAGCTGTCAGCACAGAGCCTGACGTGTGGCCTGAACCCACGAAGTTTGAGATCATGACCTGAGCCTAAGTCGGATGCTTAACCGACTGAGCCACCCAGGCGCCCCTGTACTATAATAATTTTGATGCATAGAATTTAAATGACAAAAACACTTTGAAAAAGATAAATCTGTTAGTGGGTATAAAATACATAAAGAGTAATATGTGACATCAATAACAAAGTGGGAGGTAGAGCTATAAAAGAGCAGAGTTTTTGAATATTATTCAAGTTTAGCTGCTGCTATCAGTTTAAAATAGAATGCTCTTACTTTAAGATGTTTTATGTAATTGCAATGGTAACCACATCTCCCATAGAAAGGATTGAAAGTATATCACTAAAAAAACCTGAAAAGCAAAGAGCAAAGAAAAGCACACAAAAGAAAGCCATAAGAGAGAAAATGAAGGACAATAAAGCTACGGAGACTTATAAAAAACAAAAGGGCAATAGTAAGTCTTTCTGGTTAGCAATATAAAATGTAAAAGAATTAAATGTAAATGTAAAAGAATTAAACTTCCCAATCTAAGGACATAGATTGGCTGAATGGATTAAAAAAAAAACAAAACAGAATTAAAGATCTCAAATCAACAACTTCCAGGAATTAGAAAAAGAATAAACTAAACCCATAGCTAATACAAGAAGGAAAATGATAAAGATTAGAGCAAAGGTAAGGACAAGAAAAAAAAAAGGGGGGGAAACCAACTAAAGACTATTCTGAAAAGATCAACAAAATTGACAAACATTATCTAGATTAACTAAGGAAAGAACACTTAAATGTCTAAAATCAGAAATGAAAGGGGGGACAGTGTAATTCATGTCACAGACATAAAAATCATTACAAGAGAATACTATTTATAGTTGTACATAAACAAAATAGATAATCTAGAAGAAATGGATAAATTCCCAGAAATACACAAACTACTAAAACTGAACCTTGCATAGGAAATCTGAACAGATCAATAATAAATAAGGGGGCTGAATCAGTAATTAAAAACCTCCCAACAGGAGCACCTGGGTAGTTCAGTCAGTTAGGCTTCTGACCTCTGCTTGGGATATGATCTTGCAGTTTTGGGGGATTTGAGCTCCACGTTGGGTTCTGTGCTCAGAGCCTCGGGCCTGCTTTGGATTCTGTGTCTCCCTCTCTCTCTCTCCTCCTCCCCCACTTGCGCTCTGTCTCTCAAAAAATAAACATTAAAAAACTTTTTTTAAAAAGAAGAATTAATACTAATCCTTCTTCAACTCTTCCAAAAATCTGAAGAAGAGGAAACATTTCCAAACTCATCTTATGAGGCCAGCCTTACTCTAATACCAAAGCTAGACAAAGATATTTCAAGAAAAGAAAACTACAGGTCAATATCCCTGATGAATGTTGATACAAAAGTCCTTAACAAAATACAAGCAAACAGAATCCAAAAGCATTACACTATAAAAGGATGATTCATTATGACCAAGTAGGATATATTTCTGGAAAGCAAGGGTGATTCAATGTATAAAAATCAATGTGATACACCATATTAATACAATGAAGGTCAAAACCCACATGATCATCTCAACTGATGCAGAAAAAGCATTTGAAAAAATTTACACCCTTTCATGATAAAAACACTTAAAAATCTAGGAATTCAAGGAAAGGCCATTTGTGAAAAGCCCACAGTAAATATCATATTCAATACTGAAAAGCTGCAAGCTTTTTCCTCTAAAATCAAGAATCAGAGAAGAATACCCACTTTCACCACTTCTATTCAACTCAGTATTAGAAGTGCTAGCTAGAGCAATTAGGTAAGAAAAAGAAATAAAAGGTATACAAATTGAAAAGGAAAAAGTAAATTATCTCTGTCTGCAGAAAACATGATCTTATATGAAGAAAACTGAAGATTCCAAAAAACAAAACAAAAGCTGTTAGGATAAACTCATTCAGCAAAGTTGTGGGGTATAAAATCAATACACAAGAATCAATATTGTTTCTATACACTAACAATGAACAACCTGAAAAGAAAATTAATAAAATAATTCATTTACAATAGTATCATAAAAATAAAATACTCAGGAATAAACCTAAGTAGGGAGGTAATATAATTATATACTGAAAACTATATAACACTGGTGAAAGAAGTTAAAGATGACAAAAATAAATGTAAAGACACCCTATGTTTGTGAATTTGAAGCTTTAATACTGTTCAAATGTCCATACTACCCAAAGTGATTTACAGTTTCAATGCAATCCCTACCAAAATCCCAATGGCATTTTTTGGTAGAAATATTAGAATTCATTTGGGATTTCAAGGGACCCTGAAGAGTTAAGACAATTTTGAAAAAGAAGAACAAAGCTGGAGAACTCATACTTCCTGATTTCAAAACATATTACAAGTCTACAGTAATTAAAAGAGCATGGTAGTGGCATCAAGATAGGCAAACAAGAGTGCCTGCATGGCTCAGTAAGTTGAGTATCCAACTCTTGATTTTGGCTTGGGTCATGATTCCAGGGTCGCGGGATCGAGCCATGTTGGGCTCTGCAATGAGTGTGGAGCCTGCTTGAGATGCTCTTTCTCTCTGCCCCTATCCCTTGAGTACTTTCTTTCTCTCTTTCTCAAATTAGACAGACAGATAAATCAAATAAATCAAACAGACCCCAGAAATAAACCCTTGCATATATGATCAAATGATCTTCCACAAGGGTGCCAAGTTAACACAATGGGAAAAAGGACAATCTTCAACAAATGGTGCTGGGAAAACTGGATATCTACATGAAAAAAAATGAAGCTATACCTTTATCTTACTCCATATACAAAAATTAACCCAAAATGGAATAAATGTAAATGTAAAACTATAATATTCCTAGAAGAAAACATAGGAGAAAGCTTCATGATTAGATTAGATTTAGCAATGGTTTCTTAGATATGAGACCACAAAAGTACAGGCAACAAACATCAAAATAGACAAATTCAACATCAAAGGACACAATCAACAGAGTGAAAAGGCAACCTAAGGAAAAGAAGTATCTGCAAATCACATATCTGATAAGGGATTAATATCCAGAATATATTAAGAATTCCTACAACTCAACAACAAAAGAATCAAATGACCCATTTTATTTTTTATAAAATTTTTAAATGTATTTATTTATTTTTTTAAATGTTTTATTTATTTCTCGGAGAGAGAGAGACAGCATGAGCAGGGGAGGGTCAGAGAGAGAGGGAGTCACAGACTGAAACAGGCTCCAGGCTCTGAGCTGGCAGTCAGCACAGAGCCCGACACGGGGCTCGAACCCACGAACCGCGAGATCATGACCTAAGCGAAAGTCAGACGCTTAACCGACTAAGCCACCCAGGCGCCCCTGTATTTGTTTATTTTGAGAGAGACTGAGATAGCATGTGATGGAGGGTGGTGGGGAAACAGGGAGACAGAATCCCAAATAGGCTCTGCACTGTCAGCAAGAAGCCCTATGCAGGTCTCAAACTCACGAAACTATGAGATGATGACCTGACCAAAACCAAGAGTTGGATGCTTAACTGAGTCGAGCCACCCAGGAACCCCTCAAATGACTCATTTTAAAAATGGGCAAAAGAGGGGCGCCTAGGTGGCTTAGTCGGTTGGGCGTCCAACTTTCGCTTAGGTCATGATCTCGCGGTTTGTGGGTTCGAGCCCCGCGTCGGGCTCTGTGCTGACTGCCAGCTCAGAGCCTGGAGCCTATTTCAGAGTCTGTATCTCCCTCTCTCTCTGACCCTCCCCTGCTCACGCTGTGTCTCTCTCTCTCCTAGAAATAAAAAAATAAATAAAAATATTTAAAAAAAATGGGCAAAAGACTTGAACAGACATTATTTAAAAATGCATACAAATGGCCAATAAGCATATGAAAAAGATGCTCAATCTCACCAGTCATCAGAGAAATGCAAATAAAAACCAGAGATCCTGTGAAAATATTATGTCACACCCATTAATTTGGCTACCATCCAAATAACAGAAAATAACAAGTGCTGATGAAGATATGGAGAAACTGGATCCCTTGTGCACTGTTAGTAATATTGTAAAATGATGTAATTGCTATGGAAAACAGTATAGAGGTTCCTCAAAAAATTAAAAACAGATCTACTATATGATCCAGCAAATCTTACTTCTGGGTATATACCCAAAAGAACTGAAGGTAGGATTTTAAGGAGATATTTGCACACTCATGTTCATAATAGTATTATTCACAATAGCCAGAAGGTGAAAGTAATCCAAAAGTCTATCCATGGATGAATAAATAAAATGTGGTAAATGCATACAATGGAATATTTTTGAGCCTTAAAAAGGAGGAAAATCCTGCCACATGCTACAACATGGATGAATCTTGAAGGCATTGTGCTAAGTGAAATAAGCCAGTCACAAAAAAGACAAATACTGCATGATTCCAGTTATGTGCGGTCTCTAAAGTAGTGAAATTCATAAAAACAGAAAGTAAAATGGTAGTTACCAGATAGAGGGAGAGGCAAAAGGGGAGTTGTTCAATGGGTACAGAATTTTAGTTTTACGAGATGGAAAAGTTCTGGAGATCTGTTTCACAATAATGTGAATATATAAAATATTACTGAACTGTACACTTAAGAATGGTTAAGTGAAATACATTAGAGAAAGACAAATACTGCATACTCTCATTTACATGTGGAATCTAACACAAGCTCATACGTACAGAGAACAGATGAGTGGTTGCCAGAGGAGGGGGATAAGAGGTGGGCAAAATGGGTGAAGGGAGTCAGAAGTTACAAACTTCCAGTTATAAAATAATTAAGTCATGGGATAGTGTATACAGCAAGGTGATTCTAGATGATAATACTGTACTGAATATTTAAAAGTTCCTAATAGAGCAAATCTTAGAAGTTCTCATCACAAGAAAAAAATTGTAACTATGTATGGTGACGGATGCTAACTAGACATACTATGGTGATCATCTCACAATATAATCAAATACCCAATACTTATGTTGTATACCTGAAATACAGCATTATCTATTAATTTATACCTCAATTAAAAAAAGGTTTAGATGACAAATTTTATGTTATGTGTTTTGAACCAAAAAAAGTGTTCAAAAAAGAAGGAGCAAAGATACCTTCTCTTTCGACTTTTGATTATTTTTTTGTGGGGACACAAGGTCTGAAATTGCTACAGCCATCCTGTCATCACCATGGGAACATCAGATACCCCTGAAGAAGCCAAAGCAGAAAGAAAGGCTGTGGGTCTCTGAGTCCATGATTCAACTGACCTTGGAGCCACCCATCTTAGGACTTCTCATTATGTGACATAATAATATAGTTTCTTAATCCTAAAGCCACTTGTTATGTTTTCTGCTAGTTAGGACCAAAGGCATATACCAGATACATTGCTACTATAAACAGATACTCGAAGAAACTCCACCAGAATGTATTCAGAGGGCAGGGTTTTTGCTGGCTTTGTTCAGTGGCATATATACCAGTGCCGGCACATAGTAGGTGCTCAACAAATATTCAATAAATGAATAAAAAGAAAAGTTACGATCCCTCTTCTATATCCTGAACCTCCTGCTCATCCCCCTCAGAGCTCAGCTTAAATGTCCTTACCCAGGGAGGTCTTCTCTGAACCTCCAAAAATCTCTTCCTGTTCTCTGAAAACCCTGATTAGGGTCTCGATACATGCGACCACCTTTTGCCCTCACATTTCTTGTGGCTGTGCTTAATTACCTGTAACTATCCGTGTAGTGAATGTCCCTCCCACTGGATCATAAGCTCCATGAAAGCAGGAACTGGTCTTGCTTATGGGTATAGCCTCATCTCCTGGCATAGTGCTTAGCACAGTGTGGCACTCAAAAACATGAATTTCAAAGATGTTCCAACTCTATGTTGGCTCTACATGAAACCTTAAAAATCTAGTTTATAAATCAGTCTTTTTGATTAATTAGAATATTCTAAGTTGCTTGTATGGAGGTTGAGGGACCAAAAAGGGTGTTATTTATAAAGTTTTCAATATCGTAGTCGAGTGAGGGGTTTATTTAAATTAAGCCATGGCATTTGGGGGGGTTTCCAAAACCCCAAACAGAGTAAATAATTTGTAAGTAATAAATCCATAAGTTAGAGCCCCTATGAAATCTGAGGAGAGATTTGAAATGTTTTCTTTTTTTAAAACATTTTTTTAATGTTTTTTTAAAATTTATTTCTGAGAGAGAGAGAGAGAAAGAGAGAAACAGAGAGAGAGAGAGAGAGAGAGAGAGAGAGAGAGAGAGAGAGAGAGTCCGAGGCAGGCTCCAGGCTCTGAGCTAGCTGTCAGCACAGAGCCTGATGCCAGGCTCGAACCCACCAACTGTGAGATCATGACCTGAGCTGAAGTCGGACACTTAACCGACTGAGCCACCCAGGTGCCCTGCAATGTTTTCCTTTTAAGGACTACTTCCATCTTCTTAGTTTTAAAACACTTTTGAGATTACTGCATTTGCTAAATTTGTATTTGATTCATCCCTCACTGTTTCTCTGTAAAACTACCCATAAGTGAATATTTGCCAAAATGACAGAACTTTTTAAAAATTATACTGTCTATTCCATTATCATTAATTCGTTTATAATACAAAGTCAATGGGTTTAGTAAGAACCATACTTGCCATTCAGATTGGTGTAACACTCAAGAATCCTAAGAACTATTTTGTAAAAAAAGAAAACGAAGGAAGGAGATGGAAGAAGAGTAAAGTAGCTACTTGGATACCAGTTTCTATTACTTAAGAAAAATTTAAAACAGTTCAACATGGTGGTAAAAATGTTTTCCAGAACAGTAACTGATGGTTTTGATGACAATGTACATTCCATACATACCTGCACAGTCCAGTATGATAGCCATTAGCCATAAATGTGACTATTTAATTTGAATGAATTAAAATAAAATATTTGGCTCTTCCATTGCACTGGCCACGTTTCAAGCACTCAATAGCAACATGTGGCTAATGGCTTTCATATTGAACAGTGCAGATATTCAATATTTCCATCACTGCACAGCATTAGCATAGATCTAAATGTTTCTACCGATAACTATTAGTAATGAGTGATGGGAGCATGCAGGTCACCAAAAGAAACATGTAAGTGGAGAAACAGCCATGTTATGAACATAAAACACCTATTTCCTATTGTATCCTCCTTGGGAACAAATTTCTTAAAAATCATCTGTCTCCTGCTCCCTTTACTAAATAACAGAATTGCAGCTTTTAAAAAATTTCGTGTGCTAAATGAATGAGAGCTTACTCTTATTTTCTGTTAAGTGATCTGAGCATTGCATGCAAACTTACAATTTGGTCTCATCAGCCTCTTTCTGCATGATTTCAAGAATCATGCGGCAGGCTTCAGAGGTTCCCTCGGGGGTGGCATGGATGGTGACAGGCTTCTCTGCAGCCCCAGAGTTCTCCTTTCTATGGATGTCTACCCTGTAGGGAAAGAATCAGAAGCCATAACACAATGTCATCTGGGACAGGATCTTAGTGTTGAGAAAGTGTCGCACTGGCCAATATACAGCAAAAAGACACAGACAATGAAGTGTCATTAGCACGTTTGCAACTAATGCCAGTTTTCAAGAAGGTGGCAAGCAGTGGAGGAGGTCTTGTGCCAAACTTGAATTCTTTGCAGCTCTATTTAGAAGGAAATATTCCTTGCAGGAGTGCTGTGGGACAAAGGCATCGAGCCAACTTGGTAAATGAAGTATTTTGTGCAGTCTTTCAAATGATGATAGAAGCTAAGGGTACAGGGAGTGGGGTAACGTTGCATGCTGGCATGGTGCTACTCTCTGAACTGACTGTAGCTTTTAAAAGCCATATGATAATCCAAATCCAAACACCAAATTCAAGCAAGCTTTATATATCTGAGTGTGGATTAAAAACAGAGGCATGCCCTCTCTCTGCCTAAGTTTTTGGTTTCCTTGCCCCTGGAAGCCTGCCTTCTTCCAGGCTCTTAAAACTAATGGCTCAAAAGCTTGATGACTTTATCAGACTTCTTAGGGTTGTTGTGGCCCTACTTGTTTTTGTTGACTCTGAAAATCACATAATTGATTGTATCCCTTATTTTGGCTGTTAGAAAGCCCAGATCCAAGTCTTTGACCTACTTGTAAAAAATGGACACATACTTTGAGAACTAACTTCTCTTCTACTTAAACTTGTTGCATTTTTAAAGCCACTTTAAGACATTTTTGGAGCAAAAAGACATATAACTAAAAATTACTTTTGCAGTGAAGCAAACTTGCAGGGGAGGAAAGGGCTGATTTTAAAATAAATGGAACAGCAGACAGTACTTCCCTTTTCTACTAGGTCATCATTTCATTACTATGATCATGAACTTTGGGACTCATACCTATAAGTGTCCATTAGTTGGCAGTAACTCAGACACTTTGAAGAAAACTGTTTTTTCTCTTTCAGGCTACAAGATACTCAATGAATGACATGAGTTAAATGCACTAGGCATGTAAGTAACTCATGTTCGCCAGTAACTTGGTGTTTTGCAATTTAAATGCTTTCATAGCAATCACTTCATTCAATCTGCCTGACTGTCCTAATTCTAATAATAATCCTGGCTTACAGAACAAGACATTAATGTCCAGAGAAGTTAATTTTTTCCCCAAGATTATACTCAGTGGTAAATCTTGAACATGGGTCTTTGCATCCTGCACTTTGTTACATCAGGCTGTGTTCTTAAGAATATACAAAAACCAATAATCCACTAAACTCCTACTACCAGTTCCGTCTCCTTAGATGACTTAACAGAGGCTAATGTACTTCATTTCTTCTCGATACAGGAGACTCACTCACTTCTTTTATGTAGCCATTTATGGGACCACCTAAGTGGTCTCAAAGGATGACTACCACCCAGGGCTCCAACTCAAGAGAGGAGGTAAGAACTAAGAAGTGGTTTCTGGGATGCCACAAAGTTCAGCCCCATACCTCTGCTGTTTTAGAAAGTGATGTAGTAACAAGCACTAGTAAGCTTATGAGAACAATTCTTGGCTGTGAGGTCAATAGTACCTGCTAGAACCTTTAGTAATTTGGGGCATGACCTTTAGGTTACTGGCGTGAAAGTACAATGAAGTCCCCAGCTTTGTTAGTCTGTTAGTAGTTCTGAGAAGCCACCATCCCACACAGACAGCCCCCACTGCTGATGCATGATAGCCACCTAGGAGGACTGGGGCCCACCAGCACTCAGGGGGCCTGTCAGAAGGAAGCAAAGGAAGCCCCGGAGGCACGTACCGGGACTGGGTCTGCTTAGTGATGTTCTTTATGGTCAAGCCCTCCTTTCCGATGATGGCACCAACAAACTGGGTGGGGACCAGGATCCGCAGCGGGAAATCAATCTGTCTGGCCTGAGAAGAGCCCCCAGGGGCGTGGCCTTGCTCCCGGGAAGAGTGGTCCCCACGCTGGGCTCGCTGTGGGGGCGAAGGGGAGCTCACCTCTTCATCCGGGATGTAGGAAATCTTGAAGGAGTAGTTCTCAAACTGATGCCCGCTTAGCTTCTCGATGGCTCTGAAATGCAGCAGTGGTAAGTGAGCTTTGTTAGACCCTCATGTCAAAGAAGACCCTTAGGCCAATGGATGGGGTCGTTCAGTCTGCTTTCCTAGTTGCCTATGTGAACAGCATTGCTCCCTGAGGGTAGCCCAGTTAGCAAGGTGCCAGCTTTGCTCCCTCAGAGCTTATGGTTAACAACTAAATAATCACAAAATATAGGCCTGGTCAGACTTGATACACGACTATGCATTCTGCTTTTTTTTCATGGCCTGAGGCTGTATCCTGCTCATCAAAAACTCTTTGTAAATATTGGTATAAAATTACGACTTTTTCTCAGCTTGATCATAAAACATGTTCATTACTGAAAATTCAGAAATGGTTAAGTACCGATCAGAAAAAAAAAATCCTAGCCCATTTTGTATCTTTTTAAAAATATAATTATCATTTATATACATGGATTAATATTACATATACTATTTTCTAATCTTTAAAAAAGAGCTCATACTCTAAATGTTTCCCAAGTCATTAAATGTCCTGCAATTTAACTGTTACTGGCTGCTTAACACTCTATTGATTTATCATACTTTCTGCAATTCATTCCCTATTGTTAGATAAATACATATATCCAATCTTTCATCATTATATGCAGTGTTGTCATGGACGTTTTTGCAACTATAGCTGCACACAGGACAAATTCCTAGTGGAATTGCTGGGTCAGAGAGAATGCAGAATTCTAACATCATTAAGTACTCCTCAGTGTGCTTCTGTAAAGGCTTCAACACTTACTATCCATAGCAGTTAAGACAGCATTTGTTTCTTGAGTCCTCAAAAATATTTATTTAAAATTATTTATCGATTTGATAGAGAATACACAATATCCCACTATGGCATTTTTAAAGCTATTTATATAGGAAGTGGAACAATTTTTTCACAAGCTTTCTTGCAACATGTGACAACAATATCACTATTCTGCTATATAAATATTTAGGGTTTGTGAATTTATTACAAAGCAGCACTTCTGAATTCAGTAAAAGCAATAAATATTACATATGAAGGTCCTACCTAAGTGGTAGCTGGAAACAAACTCTAAAGGTGAGTTGCTGGCATATATCTTGTTTAATGTGTGTGTCTAAAGTCAACAGCAAATCATCTATTGCCTTTTTCAATGCAAAATCAACTTTTTAAAGACTAGTGGTATGAGGATGGGTTAAATATGTCTTCATGTATGCTGAAACCTTGAAAAATACATAAAACTAAACAAATCAGGAGACTATAGATGCTGGCGAGGATGTGGAGAAATGGGCACCCTCCTACACTGTTGGTGGGAATGTAAACTGGTGCAACCCCTCTGGAAAACAGTGTGGAGATTCCTCAAAAAATTAACAATAGAACTCCCCTATGACCCAGCAACAGCACTGCTAAGGAATTTACCCAAGGGATATAGGAGTGCTGATGCATAGGGGCACATGGACCCCAATGTTCACAGCAGCACTCTCAACAATAGCTAAATCATGGAAAGAGCCTAAGTGTCCATCAACTGACAAGTGGATCAAGAAGATGTGGTTTATCTATACCATGGAATACTACATGGCAATGAGAAAGAATGAAACCTGGCCATGTGTAGCAACATGGATGGAACCTGAGGGTGTTATGCTGAGAGAAATAAGTCAGGCAGAGAAGGATCGATACCATATGTTTGCACGTATAGGAGGATTAGGAGGAACTTAACCAAGGACCATGGGGGAGAAGAAGGGAAAAAATAGTTGGGAGAGGGAGGGAGGCAAACCATGAGAGACTTTTGAATACTGAGAACAAACTGAGGGCTGAGGGGGGGCGGAGGAGAAGGGGGTGATGGGCATGGAGGAGGACACTTGTGGGGAGAAGCACTGGGTGTTATATGCAATCCAACTTGACAATAAACGATTTAAGAAAAAAAAGTAATTACTGATAAAGAAAAATAAATAAATAACACTATAATTCTGGGGTATAGAACCAAGGTTATGCTGTATGCATGGAACATGTGTGACCATAATTGTGGTTACAATGACCTGACAAGCATTTCACCTTAAGGACCTCCTACAAAAAGGAATTTGTTTTGTTGTAGTTGCTGTTTTAAAAACTCAATCCCATGTCCATTAATCCCCAACCTCAAAATTAACCATCACTGAAACAAGGTAGTCATGCATGGGGACTAGGAAATAAGTGGAAAATAGGAAAGAGAACCCAGGCCAGGTAATCTTTGAATAACCACTCCCAGACAATTCTCCCTGCTGCTGATGTCATGGAGATGGGCCCTCTTTTAAATGTCACACAGAGGAAAAATGGGTGTCTTATGATCTCTTCACCAAGTGTGGACAGAAACAGGTTTGTGCTTCTTCCTCATAGTGCATGGAAGAAGCTCCAGGTAAAAGCCCTGTGGTTGGCAGAGACAAGGGACACAGTGTCACAAGCTGGTGCCTCTATTCATGACCACATGTCAAGACACAGGTCCCACCTCGGTTTTGACGCTGAGGTTCAACATTTTTCAAGATAAAGTCTCTGTACAACCAACAAACAGACATCCTACTACAAATGCCCTAAGCTCTGACACGTCAAAGGCATGCACAGATGCCCCAAGGCTCCTCTGGCATGTCAAAGGTAGCATCTTTTTGGAATTCAAAGACAACCCTCCAAAACTTAAAACGAAAGAAGCCCAAATCCACTTACATTTTTGATTCTTCTCTTGTTGCATATGTGACGTTGACAACAGCAGTTTCTGTGTCTGTGTTGACTAGGAAAGAAGCAAAAACTATACTGTCACAGGAAAAAAAGCTGTCACCCTCTGGCTCAATGTAAACAGACTAACTTTAGAGAAGAATGCACAAAAATCTCCTCACCCTAACTCCTTAATTATTTGAATCTCTATCTTTATTCATGTGCATTCATAAATAGTAATCAATTGTATACACACATCTGTAATCAACTGTATATACAACTGAAAGCTGTTATTTTCACTTATAAATACCATTACATGTTCATATGTATATGCTCATTATGTATTTTCCGTCTCTAATGTCTACATAAAATTTTAGTAATTGTGCCATGATTTTTGACAAACCATTCCTCAATTGTTGACAAGTGGGTTATTCCCAATATTTGCTATTCTAAGTCATACTGCTAAAAATCAGCTTTACTGCGAACACATTTGATTTGTGTTCTCTGAATTACTTTTTTACTTTATTTTTTTTTAAATGTTTTATTTATTTCTGAGAGAGATTGAGAGAGCGAGCACGTGAGTAGCGGAGGGTCAGAGAGAGAGGGAGATACAGAAACCGAAACAGGCTCCAGGCTCTGAGCTGGCTGTCAGCAAAGAGCCCGATGCGGGGCTCGAACCCATGAACCATGAGATCATGTCCTGAGCCAAAGTCAGACGCTTAACCAACTGAGCCACCCAGGCACCCCTGAATTACTTTTTTAGGCTAAATCATGAAGAAAAGTAACTGGGTAATGGAATAGAATGCTTCTTAGTGCAATTTTCAGACTACTTGCCTAGAAGTTTATATCAATTTATGGTACCACCATCAAGGTAGAAGTTTGTTATGTTTGCATTTACTTTTAAATAGCTGGATATACACATAAAATATTTTAATCCTTAATTTATTCCTAAAGTAGAATTATTATTTTTGTTTCCCTTTGACTGAGCTCCATGACTCTGTGAGCTGAACCTAGTAACTGTGTATAATAAAGAAAGAAAACTGACAATTACAAGTCATTTGGCTAAAGGAGAGAACACAAACTCTAAGTGGCTAATACTAAACTCTCTTGAGCTGGCTTATCTTGGTTCATAATTGCCTCTTCTTCCAAAATCAGAAGTTAAAAATAAATTCAGAAGTCAAGATAAAACTTTCTCAGTCCAAGCCAGTAAACTTTATCCAAAAATACTGTTTTTCCCAAAACAAGTAGCTATAACTAAATCAGATCCTCCCTTTAAAAAACATCTAAGCTATGGGGTGCCTGGGTGGCTCAATTAGTTAAGTGTCTAGCTGTGGCTCAGGTCATGATCTTGCGGTTTACAAGTTCAAGCCCTGCATCTGGCTCTATGCTGACAGCTCAGAGCCTGGAGCCTATTTCAAATTCTGTGTCTCCCTCTCTCCCTGCTCCTTCCCTGCTCACACTCTGTCCCTCTCTCTTTCTCTCGCAAAAATAAATAAAACACTTTAAAAAATAAAAAAAATATTTAAGCTTTTGAGAGACTTGGAGTTAACCACATTAAGTTAATCGTGCAGATAATTCAAGAAAACCATGATAAAGTTGCTTTCCAAAGTAATAATAAAACCTTGTAGTACAGGGATTCCTAATTTGGATCCACGATGGAACTTTCAGGAATTCTATAACCTCACACCACCACCACTACCACTACCACCACCTCCTCCCCCACCTCCACCACAACCAACGATTCAAATGTGTGGATGAATATAGGAAATTTTCTGGTTTATAATTTCTGTAAGACTGTCAAAGAGGTTAAAGACCACAGCTAAAAATATTTTTTATCCAGTAACTTCAAAGTAGCTGCAGCCTTCACAGGGAAGGGATGCACAGTCTTCAGGAAAGAGCTGACACTGAGATTTACACGTCATAAATGCTGAGCCCAGCCCGGCTCTGCCCGGGAGTGTTCTTGCTGCCTCTAATTCACACTTACCCAGAGAAGTTCTCAAAGCGCAAAACAGGGGATGAGTAGCCCACAACCATCCTCTCTCAGTGCTGACACACAGAATGTACCAGAGGGTTCCTATCTGTTTTTTTCTAGTGCTCCAGGTGACACTGTCCACTCCCAGAAAGGGAGAAAGGGAGATAGGGATGGCTTTGAACCTCCTGAATAAATCTATCCACTAGGATTCAGATTTTGCTCTCACTTCTTAGTCATTTTCTGTTATTCAAAGACATGTGTCATCAGGAAATCAGATAGTTCTGTGATTCTGGAAAGAACTGAGCTCCATTCGACTAATTTATTTCGCTGGACATAAAAGCTCTAAAAAGTTTCTTAAAACTCTACTGAAAATGTTTTCCTGCTGAATCAGGAATCACCTACGAAACAAAACAAAACAAAACAAAAGCCCAATACTTCTTTCCTGGAGTTGTGAGGCAGCTGGAAACTGGATGGTCTCCAGGGCTCAGGTGCACTAGGAGCTACCATTGCCCCAGGGACCTGCAGTATTCCTCCTTGCATGGCAGTGTCCTGAATTTATACCATGCTCGTAGCCAGGAACTTTTACAGGCTCATGTCTGTGAGGCCATCTTGCCTACTGTATCCAATCCTTATAAGAATGTCTTCTCCATGTTGAGGGAAATAACAAGAAGTGAGAAATAGAATCCTTGTAAATCATGTCTTCTTTCTGAGCTCTTTCCCTTCACCTTTGAGCATGTGCAGTCAGCAGCATGAAACTGAGTAATAATATTTTTAATATTCATGGAGGGGAGAACATCTGAATAATTACTACTTTAAAATGATTACTTTAATTATACTGGTAGATAGAACAGATTGCATATCAGACAATGGATTCTCTGTGATTATTCCCAACTGAATCTTAACAATTCCTTGAGATTATACAGGACTCCATTGCCTACAAATTTTTATACATGTTCTCTTTGGGTGCCACAAATACTCAGTGATACAGAAGGGGTAAAATGTATTCTCCCCCTTTATACCTGTGGAAACTGAGTCAGAAGGCAAGTGACTTTTTCAAGGGTTTCAAGGGCTTCACAGTCAGTAAATAACTGCATTCACATTCTGCTTTTTAGGTCAAAGGAAAAAAAATCTTTATTACATGTTACTGTCTGCCACATCAGGGGCTTGGAATCGACTTTTCGGGGGGCTCTTAAGGAGCTCCATGAGCTTTCAGTCTCTTTAAAAAGATAGCTTTTAAAAGAAAAACTTTTTTCTTTTTAAAATCATAACATTTCATGTTTCAGATGATGAAAATGAGAGCAGCAGAAAGAAGAGTATTTTCTGTGGATGTCCAACACTGATGTCCTAAGCCTGTGGCTCTCAAAAATCAGTTGGGGGTGCTTGTTTAAAATACAGATTCATCAGGGGCGCCTGGGTGGCTTAGTCGGTTAAGCATCCGACTTTCGCTTAGGTCATGATCTCGCGGTTCGTGGGTTCGAGCCCCGCGTCGGGCTCTGTGCTGACTGTCAGCTCAGAGCCTGGAGCCTGTTTCAGATTCTGCATCTCCCTCTCTCTCTGACCCTCCCCTGCTCACGCTGTCTATCTCCTAGAAATAAAAATATATATATAAGAAAAAAAAAAAAGAATTCTTTCTAAAAAAAAAAAAAATACAGATTCATCAGCTCTTGCCCCAAAGATTCTTACTTTGTAGGTTTATGGTAAACCCCAGGAATGTGCATTTTCATAAGCACTGGGGAGAGTCTGGCGTAGAAGTCCTATTACTTGAGAAACAGTCTAAGACATTAGTGATCTGTTGTTCTTAACCAGGATAAGGAAAATTGTGACAGCATAAATTCAATTACTTCCCAGTGAATTCAGCTTACCCCAGCCTGACTGTGTTTGTCTAGTGCTTGAGAAAACATTAACAGAATATATACATATCTAAGAAAAGCCCAAACAAAAATGTAAATCACATTCCTTGAAAAACTATAGAGAGATATGGATAAAAAGATATGAATATCTCTCACGAACAGAGAAAGCTTGTTTCAAAGGAATCTGAATTTACTATTTATCTTTGGAGTTGACCCAGCCTGTAACAATCCCTCTCAAAAATCAATAGGCGAATTTCCTCACTTAATACCTTGTTCTACATTCTCCACTGTCCCATACTGAGCCAAAAGTCCATCCAGCACCTGAAAAAGAAAGATCCCATGTCAGAACAGGAAGATAAGATTGTACTCACACACAAAAATGGGATAGTGGTATCTCCCAGCAAATGGACTAAAACAAAACAGGGACAGTTACGGAAATAATCTAAGTAAATTGATACTTCAGTTCTTCCATCAAGAACAGTTAAAAATGACTAAATATATGGGACTTGCACTTGGTTATTAGCTCTCAAGAAATCTGTCCACTGAGGTGACACAGCAGAATTTTAGAGTCTTACTGTGGTGTGTGTGTGTGTGTTTTTTTTTTTTTTTTTTTTAAGAAATGTTTTTATTTAGGGGCGCCTGGGTGGCTTAGTCGGTTAAGCGTCCGACTTTCGCTTAGGTCATGATCTCGCGGTTCGTGGGTTCGAGCCCCGCGTCGGGCTCTGTGCTGACTGTCAGCTCAGAGCCTGGAGCCTGTTTCAGTCTGTGTCTCCCTCTCTTTCTGACCCTCCCCTGCTCACGCTGTCTCTCTCTCTCCTAGAAATAAAAAAAAAAAAAAAATGTTTTATTTATTCCTGAGAGAGAGACAGCATGAGCAGGGGAGGGTAGAGAGAGAGGGAGACACAGAATCTGAAACAGGCTCCAGGCTCTGAGCTAGCTGTCAGCACAGAGCCCAATGCAGGGCTCAAACCCACGAAATGCGAGATCATGACCTGAGCCGAAGTTTGACGCTTAACCGACTGAGCCACCCAGGCGCCCCAGTCTTCCTGTTAATAATCACATCCATCATGATGGTTGGAACACACTGCTTTTGAAATGACAAGCAGAATAAAGGACAGGCTCACTTGTCCTTGCTGAAGTTTTAACCATTCTTCCTTCTGTTTTTCTCTAGAGATATCCTTATTTTATTATGAAGCAGTGGGATATATATATACATACATATTTTTTGAAAATTTTCATAATAAAGAATTTTTTAAGTAATAAAAACATTACACAAAGCATTCTATCTCCTTTAAGGCTGTTTTGATTTTGTTTGGGTTTGAAATAAACGTTGGGGTAGTTTGTTTTTAAACAATGCAATAAGGCCACTCCTCACATTCTGTCTTCTTAAATTTTAAGGTAGCAATCATAAGAAATTTTACAACTCTGAAACTATATCTTCACTATTGTTCACAGCAACTCATTCACAAACAACATAAAACCTATTCAAACTGACAACCTTCTATTTTTATTGGGCTTCTATGGATTTTAATTTTTTTTCCAAAATCATAATTTGGAAAGGTAAAAAACCTTTTACAAAATCATGAGATAAAAATCACAAACCAGGTAAACATTTTGTTTCATAGTTTGTCAGTGCTTGGTGCTTGAGAAGACAGAACAGGAGGGCTCCAAGCACACATCTTGCACAAGGAAAGAGACAAACACAGCCCTAAAGTTGTAACAGATTGCGTACATTAGGGTACTGAAAAAAAGGAAGAGAGCGCACCCAGGAGCCTGTGTGAGAGGTCTGAAGACCTCTAATTCCTCAGAGAACTCACAGAGGGAGAGAGGTTTGGCTGATCTATGAAAAAGGAAGTGAGGACAGAGGGCAGGAAGACCGTATACACGGGTGACACTGGCTTACCTCCCACTGCAGGTGAGGAGGGATGTTTCGGATCTGAATTTTCCTGCTCCTGTAAAAATAAAAGCTCAGGCTGTAACACTTTCTCTAGGACACAGACTTCAGCAAATAATAAAAACAGTCTCAAGATCATAGTTTGAGTTCACTTTCTCACTGTGTTTACTGAGGCATCAGCAAGAGATTCCAGCTGTGACTCATGAGCATCATGTTTTAAGGTTTTCAATTACTTTGGGGAAAAAAAGGAAAGAATAAACCCAACAAGATTGAACACGCTAAAAGAAACAGTTTAAATACAGATGTGCCTTTTCAGTTTCTTGCCAAAGTAGTCAGAACTTAAATTACCATACAGATTCTAATTATAGAATTTATTACCTTCCTCCCCAAAATAGATGGTCCTGCAACTATTTGCAGGTGACATGGCTCAAACATGACAGGTGAAGTCATATAAATAGTGGGCTTAAATGAAATTAGATTTAGTTCACCCCTTACCTAATAATGCAAAACTTCCTTTCAAAAATTATTTTTATCTTTGAATAAGTAATACGGTAATAATTTAAAAATTAGAACACTATAAAAAGGTGTGCTAGAAAAAGTTTTACTCCCATTCATCCCTTTCCTTCGCCAGAAATAAACACTTTTACTTATGGCTCGTGTATTCTTCAGTTTCTTTATGCAATAATAGCAAATACAAATATAAATTCTTATATCTCCCCCTTACAGAAATAGTTGCATATTCTACGAACTCTCTGCATGTTTTTTTCACCTTAACAGTACAATCCTGGAGATCTTCCCACGTTGGCAGACAGTGTCCTCATTCTATTTTATACTATCTGGAGGTACCAAAGTGCATTCAATCTGTCCCCTTTGTGCCTTCTATCTCCTTTTTAGTCAGAGGATTTTTCTGTTTTTCTGGGACATCCTGCTGGTCTGATAACTAAGTGATTTAGATTGTTTCGTTTTTATGTAAACATTAAAATTACATAGGAAAAAAGAATAGAAATAGGAGGGTAAGAACTTTCTATCTTTATGAATATGTCAGATCCTGGAAAGAAAACACAAATCAGCATTTAAATATTAGAAAGGTCATTTTAATGGAAGAACTTGACATTCAATTCCCCTAAGTTCCATTTTGAGGGGTTGCCAGAGAAGGGATGTAATGGCAAAAGTATACCTGCCATTACTTTTTCTTTCTTTATGGTGTCAGAGGTACCAAATAGGGGTGACATACAGCCAAAAGTTTTTCTATGGCTTTAATCTGGGCAATAGCCCCAGAAAGAAATGTTAACAATTCATGCAGAGAGGAAAGAGAAGAGAGGTACACAGAAGAAACATGAAAACAAACAAGTAAATCAGGGGCTCTAGTTTTCTCACTGTTTTTACTGAATGCAAGGAGGTGGGCACCTCTATGTTCTAGATCCTATACAGTACTTCAAATTTTAAAAAAATGAGAATGTATTCATGCTTTACTAGAGCAAGCCAGTATATAGAGAACCTCTAATTTTGTATCAGGATAGGAAGGAGGAAAAAGAACCAAGAACTAATTTCTACCTCTATGCTATGAAGTCTCTTTCCTGACACTGCCTTTGGCAATAGTCCATAATAAAATTGCTGACACCATCCCATGTACTGGCTCCATGCAATGCTCCACATAAGCTGTCACAAGTCTATTTATAGAAAAGACATCAGAATTTGCAAGAAATTGTGTTTCTTTTTAAGATACAATTTATTGTCAAATTGGCTTACACACAACACCCAGTGCTCATCCCAACAAGTGCCCTCCTCAATGCTCATCACCCATTTTCCCCTCTCCCCCACCCCTCATCAACCTTCAGTTTGTTCTCTGTATTTAAGAGTCTCTAGGGTCTGCCTTCCTCCCTCTCCTTAACTCCCCTTCCCTTCCCCCATGGTCTTCTGTTGAGTTTCTCAAGATCCACATATGAGTGAAAACATACGATATCTGTCTTTTTCTGACTTATTTCACCTAGTAAAATACCCTCCAGTTCCATTCACATTGCTGCAAATGGCATGATTTCATTCTTTCTCACTGCCATATAATATTCCATTGTATAGATAAACCATATCTTCTTGATCCATTTGTCAGTTGATGGACACTTAGGCTATTTGCATGTTTTGGCTACTGCTGAGAGTGCTGCTATCAACATTGGGGTACATGTGCTCCTATGCATCGGCACTTCTGTATCCCTTGGGTAAATTCCTAGCAGTGCTACTGCTGGGTCAGAGGGGAGTTCTACTGTTAGTTTCCTGAGGAACCTCCACACTGTTTTCCAGAGGGGCTGCACCAGTTTGCATTCCCATCAACAGCGCAAGAGGGCTCCCGTTGCTCCACATCCTCGCCAGCATCTATAGTTTCCTGATTTGCTCATTTTAGCCACTGTGACTGGTATGAGGTGGTATCTCAGTGTGGCTTTGATTTGTATTTCTCTGATGATGAGGGATGTTGAGCATCATCTCATGTGTCTGTTGGCCATCTGGATGTTTTCTTTGGAAAAGTGTCTATTCATTTCTTCTGCCCATTTCTTCACTGGATTGTTTGTTTTTCAAGTGTGGAGTTTGGTGAGTTCTTCATAGATTTTGGATACTAGTCCTTTATCCACTATGTCACTTGCTAATATCTTTAAGAAATTGAATATTTCTAAAGAAAAATATTTTTATCTCCACATATAAACATCAGCTCTAAATACTAACCAAGAATTTACTGGTGTAAGTCTTACTGGAAGAAACTCATTCATGAACACAAAGATTTGAAAAAAGTACTATAGCATTGTTTATGATGAGAAAGATGGCAAACAATCTAAATAGGCACCAACAGGGAAATGAATAAATGAATCATGGGACAGTCACGAGTTGGAACATTATATACCTTTTAAAAAGAATGAAGTAGCGGTGCCTGGCTGGCTCGGTTAGGAAAGCATCCAAGTCTTCATCTCGGGATCATGAGTGCAAGCCCCATGTTGGGTGTAGAGATTACATTAAAAAAAAAAATGAGGTCGACATATAGGGAACCTTCCAAGGCATGCTGTTATAAGAAGAGAGCTAATTATAGATTAGGAAGATCCCGTTTTTTTTTTAATGTTTATTTATTTTTAATATTTTTTTTTAATTTCTAGGAGAGAGAGAGAGAGAGAAACAGCATGAGCAGGGGAGGGTCAGAGAGAGAGGGAGACAGAGACTCTGAAATAGGCTCCAGGCTCTGAGCTGGCAGTCAGCACAGAGCCCGACGTGGGGCTTGAACCCACGAACCGTGAGATCATGACCTAAGCGAAAGTCGCTTAACCGACTAAGCCACCCAGGTGCCCCGACCCTGGTTTTTTTTAATTAATAATTTTTTAATGTTTGTTTTTGAGAGAAAGTGTAAGCAGGGGAGGGGAAGGGAGAGAAGGGACAGAGGATGTGAAACAATTTCTGTGCCAAAAGCAGATAGCCTGATGTGGGGCTCAAACTCATGAATCCATGAGATCATGATGTGAGCTGAAGTTGGACAGTTAACTGGCTGAGCCACTCAGGTGTCCCAGGCAGATCCTGTTTTTTAAGTGCACAAAACAGACCACATGCTATTAACTGTGTGTACTTGTAAATGCATAAAAAAAGGTAGGTACAAGCAGTTGGTGAAAGATAGTTTAAAGGACATAAACTTTTAATTTTAGTTACTTCTGTTGTTTGCTGTTTTAAAAAATGAGAATGTAGTCATGCCTTACTTGGATTAAAAATTAACAGTTGAGGGGCGCCTGGGTGGCTCAGTCGGTTGAGCATCCGACTTCAGCTCAGGTCAGATCTCATGGTTCATGGGTTCGAGCTCCGCATCAGGCTCTGTGCTGACAGAGCCTGGAGCCTGTTTCAGATTCTGTGTCTTCCTCTCTCTCTGCCCCTCCCCCACTCATGCTCTGTCTCTCTCTGTCTCAAAAATAAACTATAAAAAAACAACAACAAACAGTTAAAACCCCTACTAAGACTGTTTTAATGAATATACAAGATTTATTTTTGAAAAGTATTCTAGAACTTACTAAATTAAAAAAAAGAGAACAAAAACCTAACACCTCACTTTTTCCATAACTAGGTTAGGTATTCTTGATACCATATTTAACAGAATTAATTTATTTAGCAAACTCTGTTCCTAATGTATAAGCCATCAAACTCTGCCTGGTTCAGGTTACCCCAAATCTTAACTAACTGGGTCTAAAACAGTAACGTTTCCCTGTAATGTTTCACGTCAAGAATACACACTGGGCAATCAGCTCAGGAACTGGAATGTTCATTAATCAGGATTCCAGGAGAAATAAACCCTAAAAAAGCTAGTGTGTGGCATCTTGAATCTTAGATCTGGATGGAAAGGAAGAAAAAGAATAGTGAACTTTTAGTTCTCAATTAAACTGATCCTCAGTTAACTGGGAAGATTATCCTGAACGATTATCTTTCAGGATCAGAGGTGAGCAGGACCTGTGAGTTCTGCTAACTTCCACAGCGCCACCTGGATGCTATGCCTCCTTCTGTTTTGGGGGGGGGGGGGGGCAGTTAATAGGGATGCCTGTCCCCTTCAGCCCCCAGGGAGGGATTTTCACATGCCCTTCAAACCCCGCCCACATGTGCAGAGACTTCCAGGGCAGCTCCGGGCAGAACTGTCTCCTCTGCACTCTTCAGCTTTTATAACAGCTCACTCTCACTGCTGTAATTATTTATCTGCTGGGGCTGTCACGTTCCCCCACCAACCTTCTGCTAGATGGTAATTTCCTCAAGAACAAGCTCTTTGTTTACTGGTCTTCTGTCCAGCACAGGGCCAAGTGTCTAGGGTAAAAGGAGAACAGGCACCCCAGGGGCTGGGAAAAGCCCTTCTAATGCTGGCTGTAGCCTGCCTATATGGGAATCCCCCAACCCCACCCCAGAAGGCCAACTGTTTATTTCTCCTTTGTCAAGAGAAGAGGGAAGAGTTCTTTTCCCTTTTTCCCTTTTGAAATCTATAAAAGTGTGCCCTGCTTTAAAAAGCCAAATTTACACAGTAACTCAGGAAAATGAATGGTTTTAAGAAAATTTTGTTTA